AGGAGGAGGGAGGAAGAGGGAGGGAGGAGGGAGGAGGAAGGAGGAGGAGGGAGGAAGAGGGAGGGAGGAGGGAGGAGGAAGGAGGAGGAGGGAGGAAGAGGGAGGGAGGAGGGAGGAGGAAGGAGGAGGAGGGAGGAAGAGGGAGGGAGGAGGGAGGAGGAAGGAGGAGGAGGGAGGAAGAGGGAGGGAGGAGGGAGGAGGAAGGAGGAGGAGGGAGGAAGAGGGAGGGAGGAGGGAGGAGGAAGGAGGAGGAGGGAGGAAGAGGGAGGGAGGAGGGAGGGAGGAAGGAGGAAGGAGGAGGAGGGAGGAAGAGGGAGGAAGGAGGAGGGAGGGAGGAGGGAGGAGGAAGGAGGAGGGAGGGGTGGATCTGACCTGTGTCCTCGAGGACACCAGGTAAACACCAGGTAAACTCACCTGCATCAACCTGACAGCAACAGGCTCCTGGCTGAGCCGTGCTAAGATGCTGCTAACACGGTTAGCTGTCTCAACTGTTACATCAGTCTTACAGGCTAATATATATGTGAGGAGTAACTTGTTATTGTAGCTGAAGTTAGCATGTGTGCTAACGTTAACCTGTGAAACCACAGTGTAAAACGTATTCTAACACTAAGATGATGAATAACGGCTCCTGGACGTTTTGCTCCTTCCCTCCATCACTTATGGACGGCTGCAACAGCTTCCAGTCAACCTGTCAGACTGTTGCTCTGTCCTCACTGAGCTATGAAGTATTATTTTACATCTCTACTATAATTTATACTTGTTACTAAATAAGATTTATCCACCTCTTTATGATGCAGACTTGTCTTGTGACAGTGAAGTTCACCTGCACCTTCATTCACAACTGTATTCTACTTTTAATTTGTCAGTTACAGTTGATTGTAAATTGTTGAAATTAATGCAGTTTTAATGTGAATAAAGTTTTTTATGAAGCTTTGCTTTGTTGATGGTTTTTATGGAGCGTGTCTGGTGTGAATTTGAACAGTAGCAGCAGCACAGTATAGAAATCACAATCAATTTTCCTGAATTTGTAATTATTCAAAGACTTTCTATGTTGCTTTAATCGACAACAAACACGATAGAAATGTTTAGATGTGGTCAGGATGAGATATCTGGATATTATTGTTAATGTTCATTTTATTAATCAATCTTCACTTATTAATATTTCATTTACTTCCTCATTAAAATGCAGATTTGTTTACAGTCTTCTTCTACTCTGCCTTTACGGTTGCATTTCTGTGTTTCTTTGCTCATTACTGCCACCTACAGACCAGCAGCGGGAAACCAGTCTTTATCCTGTGGTTCAGTTTATTATGAACTGCCTCTGTGTGAAGATCAATAATCTGATGATATCAGATGTTACTTTAATACTTCAGCTCCTGTACTCACTGTCAGGTGTCATGGAGTATTTCCACCTGCTGGTAAAGATCTGAGAACTTCTTCAACCACTGGTGCCTTATTTTATTATCTCTAACCAGGAGATCAATCAGTTATGATCAGGTGATCAATCATCTCTCCTCTGTCTTGTGGTGAACCTCAGGCTTTGGTTCAGGTCCTTTTTTATTTGTTTATTACTGACTGGAGGAAACAGCTGAGACTCACTTCCTGTCCAGAGGGGGCGGTAGAGAGATCAGCTGCGGGGAACTGAGCACAGAAGAAGAAGAGTGTACTCCTGCAGCTGTGTCTGTCCAATGACTCTTAGTCTGTTATTCACTTTAAACTGAAGATGTCGGAAGAGCTGCGGTCACAGCTGGAGAACTACCTGCAGACCCTGGACATCCAGACCACCTGCGTGGACCACCCACCGGTAAAACTGAACCCGAACCCCGCTCAGTCCCTGTCAGGGAGTCCGCTACCAGAGACCGGTTAGAAAACTTCACAGTTAAACATTGACTTGAATCCTGTGACTTTTCTAAACAACGTTAAACGCGTTCAGAGACTCAGTTTGAACATTAAAGCTCCACGTGTTTATTCGGCGTCATCAAAAACAACTAGAGACACTTTGTCTCATAGTTTTACCTGCGTGTTGTCTCCTCAGCGGCTTCCGTCCACACACACGTGGACACATTAACAGGTGTGATCTGAAGTGAAGGACAGTTGAACTGTCTGTGAGTCATAGGCCGAATCCACCATTAGATCACCTGAAGCGGGAAGAGACTCATGATCTGTGCTAATGATGAAGGTGAGGTGAGGTGAGGTGAGGTGAGCTCTAAAATGGCGCGATTTTAAACGGTGTCTGGCGTCATGAGCTTCAGACATGAAACGTCACGTAGCAGCAACAAATGCAAAATGTGGTTGTTTATTTACGTAGACTGAACACACCTTGACACAGGTGTGGTTTTATTAATCATTCATTAGAAGCAGGTACTTCCGGTGTTTCTGCTCTGACGGTGAATTACTTGGAGGAGTTTCTGTTCACACGCTTTTATAACTTGACACGTCTCTGCTGCACGGAGCTGCAGTCACCTGCAGGGGGCGTCAAAAGACAGCATGTGTGCCCCCCTCCCACACCTGCAGAGTCACTGAGCTTATTCTTTCTTTATTTAGTTATTAGTTCATTCTGATTTTATTCTCATATCCAGGTGTTCACTGTGGAAGAGATGATGCCTCACCTTCAGGAAGTGGGCGGAGCTGTCACTAAAAACCTTTTCCTGAAGGACAAGAAGAAGAAGGGTCTGTGGCTGGTGTCGGCTCGCCACGACCACCAGGTCAGCTCCCACAAACCCCCACTATTGTTTTTAAATGTTCTCATCTAACATTTGATCTTTTAACTGTAATTTTGGAAGAACAGTGTCATATTGAATAAATTGTTATATACCATATATTTTATGGAGAAGTAAAAGAAGTGGAAAATTAAATAAAAAAAATAATAAAAAAAAAATATTCAGCGTTTACAATAAAACACAAAAGAAATGAGTAAATGTTTGTGTGAGTGGACGTCAGAAATAATGATGTTTTTATCTGAATCAGAAATATTCATTTTAGTTTAAAAGTTAAAACTATGATCAACATGTTTTATCAGTCACAGGCTGAATTATTCTTTAATTCATCATTCAATTCATCCCATCAATCTATAGATGGATGGATGAATATAGATAGACAGAAGATGGATAGATGATGGATAGATCGTATCAGTGAGTGAAGACAGGAGTCTGACCCAGGACCTGGACCCGCTGATCCAGGTCTCACCTGCTGACACTCAGAGGGTCCAACACAAACTGAACTCCCAGAATCCTTCTGTGTTGGTGAGCGTTATACACTGACCTCTGACCTCTGTGAACCTGCTCAGGTGAACTTTCTGTTTCACCTGCAGTGACTCAACACAGACTGAGCTCACCACGTCCTGCACCCGCTCTTCACTCATCCTCCCATGATCCTCTCTGTTCCTCTGCAGGTCAACCTCAATGACCTTGCCAAGAAGCTCGGCGTCGGAAGCGGCAACCTGCGCTTCGCAGATGAGGCGACCATGTTGGAGAAACTGAAGGTGAGAACTGGTTAGAGATCCAGAACCAGAACTAGATGAGGAGACGGGTTCTGGATCAGACCGACGCAGTTATTGATCTATGTTCAGTTTGATTGATGTCTGATTATTGATCCGTCTCCTCTCAGGTGGGTCAGGGCTGCGCTACGGCTCTCGCTCTGCTCTTCGATAGGGACCACAGCGTAAGGTTGGTCCTGGACCGGGACCTGGTAGAAGGAGGCCACAACATGGTCTACTTCCACCCCATGACCAACGCCGCCACCATGGGGCTCCGCCCACATGACCTGCTGCGCTTCCTCAAGGAGACGGGACACGAACCCGTCCTAGAGAGCTTTGAGTAGGGACCGGACCTGGGTCAGGGAGTGGACAGGATCAGGCCGAGGGATTAAAGAGTGTTCTAGTCCGGTCTGCTGTTAGACCAGGACCTGGAGAGGACCTGTTTATCTTGGAGGGAGTTTCTGAGGAGGAAAGTCTCAGTCCTGAGTCTTTCTCCCTGTCTGTGTGTGTGTGTGTGTGTGTGTGTGTGTGTGTGTGTGTGTGTGTGAGAGAGTGAACCCCCCTCTTTTTCTGTGAACCTCCCTCTGTCTCTCTCTCTCTCTCTGTCTCTGTCTCTCTCTCTCTGTCTCTCTCTCTCTCTCTGTCTCTCTCTCTCTCTCTCTCTCTCTCTATTGTTTTATAAAATTAGCAAATGAATAAACGTTACACACTGACTCTCAGTTCTCAGGAATTCTTTCACACGCTGTGTGTATGTTTCTGGACTGGTGGTGATCAGATTCTGAATTACAGTTAAAATACTCATCATCACCATCACCATCATCATCACCATCACCATCATCATCATCATCAGGACCGGACCTGGAACCAGGACCAGAACAGAGCCAGACCAATGCCAGACTGTCCCCCTTCATGGTGCAGGCCCCTGGACACAGAGAACAGACACATTATTGATCATCACATGTACTGAATCAATAATTGATCAGATGTGATGTCTCCACATTATCTCAGTGAGCAGCTCACCTGTTGTCTGAGCTCTGCAGTGACTGACGCTGCCCCTTTAAGAAATCCAGGAAGTGGAAGGGGGAGGGGCTGCCTGGTTCAGTTGAGGGAACAGGTGTGTGCGCTAACAGGGATGATGTCATTCTCTGAGTCACCTGGGAGATGAGGGCTAGGGACAGCGTGGACAGAACGAGAGAGAGAGGAGGAAGAGGAGGCCTTCATCACTCCTGTGTGTCTGCCTGAGGAGGAGATCAATGCTGCTGTTTGAAGAGGTGAGAGAGAGAGAGACGATCACATGTAGCTGCAGTTAGTTTCAGCTCTTTAACTCTTCACCTGTTGTGTGTGAAACAGTTCAGACTGATCTGAGACCAGAGGATCAACAAGTTCAATCAGCTGTTTAATAAACTGATGACTGGAGTTCATCCTGTTTCAGTTAGAGAGCAACTGACCTGAGTTCAGCCTCAGACCAACACACACACCTGGAGAATAAGTCTCACCCCAAACTGAGCTCAGCTGATGTTTTCTCTAAACTGGTGGTCTGAGGAGGAGGGGGAGGAGGAGGAGGTAACAGAGCTAGAACAGAGCAAGTCCCGGGCCCTGGTTGGTTCCTGGTTCTGGTCCTGGTTCCGGTTTTGGTCTTGGTCCTAGTTCTGGTTCTGGTTCTGGCTCTGAGCTTGCAGATGAAACTGGTTTTATCCTGGAGGTTTGAACTTTTTCTAACTTTCACTACATCGCTATAAACATCCTCCATCTTTGCTCCTGTTGGTCTGAGCCCTGAGCTCTGACCTCTGACCAGAGGGAACCTGCTTTATCAGGTTGTTCCAGGTGTCAGGGTGCAACAGGTGAACAGAGAACAAACAGGTGACTAACAGTCTGAACACAAACACATACAGTGTTTAAATGACTCACAGGTCCCTGAGGGGGTGTGTGTGTGTGTGTGTGTGTGTGTGTGTGTGTGTGTGTGG